TGGTGCCATTCAAGGATATAACCTTTTCTCTAACTGTTTTACTGGGGGAATCATTCATTCTTAACTGACACCCCCCATCAATCCTCACCTTCAGACAGCAAAGAACATCAGTTCATAGTGTATTACGTTGGAATGGGTGAAAAATTTCTGTTCCTAAAGAGGGGCTTGGAAGATTACTTCTTGCTTGGTTTCAAACCTGATGAAATTAGGTGCTTCCTCTGTTTCATTTTCCTTCACTGACCTCCATTTCTAAGACTAGATCGGTGGAACAAGGACAGCCACAACCAGTCCAATATATGCATTACTTCAAACAGCGATTTTCTAAGCTCTGAAGGAGCCCTGTGTTCTAATCCTGCATTTGAAAGCCAAGCAAAATAGCCTTTTCTCTAAGCTCCCACACCAAAGGAGCTCTCCTCCTGTAAGCAAGGGGTAGTATTTCCACTACTGACCTTAATGAGACAGGACACATTATTACAACATAGTATAGTCCCACCTGTTTCACCAGTTATACAACATAGTACATGGGTGGGGGGGGAATGCAAGCTCAGTTTGATTTCGAATTGACTTGGTGTTTCAGAGTTTCCTTGGTGAACATCCATCTCACAGCACCAGCCAGGGCAGGTGACACCTTGAAAACCTCCCCTAGACACAAAAAGAGATGTTATTAGCAAGGGAAGGACACAAAATCAAGTGCTTGCAAGATCAACATTTGCATAAATAAAGAAGATACTCACCCAATGAAACACTGATTGATTGGGTTTTCTGGCCCCATAGTTCGCAGGAACCACTGAGGAATGTAATGGAAAGTAAGGGGCTAAAGTAGGAAAACTTTTCTACAAAGTCCTACGAAACATCTCGGTTTGGGCACCTGAGAAAATGTGTATTTTCTTTAATGCATCACAAAAGCCAACACACACAAACAGAAAAATACAAACACAAATCAAATGCAGAAAGCCACTTCACTCTCACATGCCGAGCAAGGCTTTGGATATCTTAGATTATCATGATTAAAATGAATTTTGTAACTTTAAATGTGGTTTTTGTAAGCTAATAACCAGGAGCGCAATGCCCAACTTTGTGCATTAGGCAACCTGGTGAGTTAATGTTTACTAGAGACATTTACGCCTTATGATATATTCATCTCTATTACTTTTAAACGTGTACCATATTTCTCAAATTATGTTCTATACATTTATGTTTTTTAAAAAAATAAGTAAAAATTGTTTTAACCCAGTTGAAATTGAAAACTTAAAGCTGTGAGCTTTGCAGAGCAGAATGTAAGAACTTTGAGAAGGAACAGCTTAGGGTTTAGCAACTGCATGGCAACCAGGACAGAGCAAGTTATGTTATGTACTGAAGTTCTCACCCTGGGCCAGCAGGGGGATACTGTAGATAGTTATGCAAATAAGGGATCGAAAGTGATGTTCAGTGATTGGATAGTTTTAGAAAGTTGTTACAGTTACGGTGTACTGGAGCTCTATATAAGCAGGCTGACTGAACCCTTCAAGTTCAGTTCTGTTCTGGCCTGTGAATAAACAAGAGCTGTTTGAAGAATCGCTGTGTCGTCTGATATGTTCACCCACAACTTAACAAGTTACATTTGTGCGTGTGTGTGTTTGTGTGTGAATGAGTTTTGCTTACAAAGAGCTAAGAAGCAAGCAGGATGGGCTGTGGGATGTGTACTGTGAAAAAAGCAATCTAGATTTTGCTGCTTTGATTTGTAGAAACTTTAGGCCTAAAATGTCCCCATGCACACGAAGAGACAATATTGAGACAAACTCAGATTTTGTCTGGCTGCTTTTGCAACCCCATGGCATTCTATGGGCATATGAAGACAGTTCTGTCTCAGCACCAATTACGGAGGAACTAAGCAAGAGAAGGCAATTTGGGGTGGAAAATACAATTACAGAGCAGAACTACTGGGACTGAGAAGACCAAGAATTTGTAGAAGATGTAAAACAGCAGAAATCCAGAGAGGCGCTTCCTTCTCTCAGGCCTCCCCCTTTTCCTATTTTTGCATGTTATAAGGACCTGTAGCCTGGCTCCTTTGTGTATGTGAATACACCCTATCCTTTATGTTTGTGCGTGGGCTAGAGTTAGTGTATTAGGTAGGGCTGGGCGCTATAGCATCCCAAACTGGTTTGAAGTCCATATCTTAATATCAGTTTCATGGTTTTTGACCTGGCAATATATTGCAAATCATGATGTTGTTGGGGTTGTGTTTTGTGTGTGTGTGTGTGTGTGTGTGTGTGTGTGTGTGTTATGCAAAAATCACAATGTGGGAAAAACCGTAAAGACAGCCAATGCTTCTACACAGCTCCATCTTTATTTCAGACATTGTGATATATCAGCATATCACAATGGTTAGCTGGTAATATACCACAAAGCTGAAAACCAGGTCCATCCTTATTTCGGACATTGTGATATACATTCCATGCCATTCACACCCAAAAATAAAGCTTTGACTTTTCATTTTTGGTTGGGTTCTTTTACACAGGTATCCTTGCAGCCTCCTTTTGCAAAGAAAATACAGTGGTGCCCCGCAAGACGAATGCCTCGCAAGACGAAAAACTCGCTAGACGAAAGGGTTTTGCGTTTTCTGAGTCGTTCCGCAAGACGAATTTCCCTATGGGCTTGCTTCGCAAGACGAAATGTCTTGCGAGTTCTTGCAAGTTTGTTTCCTTTTTCTTAAAGCCGCTAAGCCGTTAATAGCCGCTAAGCCGCTAATAGCCGTGCTTCGCAAGACGAAAAAACCGCAAGACGAAGAGACTCGCGGAACGCATTAATTTCGGCTTGCGAGGCACCACTGTATTTCTGAGTTGTCTGACAGACTCGATCAACATGGCATAAACAGGGAAGGCTGCTGCTGAAAGTTTATTTTTATATTTATTTATACTGCAGCTTCTTCCCTGACAGGGAATCAGATAAAACAGAAACAGCTAAGAACAGAAAAAAAACACAATCTGTCCATTTCCACCGCCAAACTGGATCCGTAAGCAGATCCTCTGCCATCGGTCCCCCCTCCAACCCACCAAATAGGATTGCTTTGCCCGTTATTAACTTTTTACCAAGACACTGCTTTCGGTTAGACGAAAGAGGATGGGGAAAACACAAAAAACATTAATAATGAATGTTGAAATTTTTTTCCAGGTTTCCCGGTCACCAAAATGTGCAAGTTTATTAAATAAAATCCAGACAGCACAGTATTCTACAAATCTAAAGTAATTCAATTTTCCGTCCAAGTTTTCTTGCAACAGAAACTAATTTTAACAACACTTTTGTGCAAAGAGCCGCACATTAGGAGTTGAAAGCATTGCGAAAGCCTACATGCTATGCTGAAACACCAGGAGACCACTTTCCCTTTTATTCTTTTTTTTTACATTCCCTCTATAAATGAGGATGCAGTTACCTTATACCAGGAAAGCGTTCCTGAAGTGCATTCTGTAAAAAGAGCGGGTGCACGAAAGATTAGACCTGCCGATCCCGTAAAAATAACAGGATTTTGAGCTGCACACACAATAAAGATTAACCGCGTGGATAAATTCGGTGACTTTGTACAAGGGTAGGCAGATTTGTAACTGACAAGGAGAAAGAAAATCTTCTGAAAGGGATACCTGCTGCGCAGAAAAAGCATTTGTCAAAAGTGTCTTTCGCTGTTTATCAGTATTTGTTGCCTATCCAAACTGGGCTCATATGGTAAAGTAGAAACCATGAAAAACCAAAAGTAAGAGTTTAATATAAATATTAAAACTCTTTGTTTTCAACATTCCCACCGTGTTGTATTGTACTTTCCTATAAATACAATGCAGTGGGAATGTTGAAAACATAAAGGATATTAAAATTTCTGTCATCAGTTTCAACCTAATCCAGGGAGCATGCCAGAAAGAAGCTGAGACTCGGATTTCGTCATATACCGCAGAGAACATCATTACTTTTTTGCAGCATGGGCTTCATTATCTTCCCTGACATTATATTCCCTAACCCCTTTCTTCCACAATCTTTCCCAATCCTCAAACATTATGTCATGTCCTACATCTCTTGCCCATCGGAGCCCCATTTGTATCCAGAGCAGAACGCAACCTGCGTCTGCATATCTGCACGTGTGTGGGTCGCGATTCACCGTTTCTGTGCATGCGCGTGACGTCATTTTGAGCGTCTGCGCATGTGCGAGCAGCGAAACCCGGAAGTAATGCGTTCCGTTACTTCCGGGTCGCTGTGGAACGTAATCTGAAAACGCTCAACCTGAAGCGACTTTAACCCGAGGTATGACTGTGTCTTATAATAAGTCATTTACCTTTTTTATATAACATTTTATTAATTTTCCAAAAACAACAAGAACAAGAACAACAATAACAAAACAAAACCAACTGACTTCCCCCTTTCTTGGTGCCATTATTAATCAACATACTGCATGTCCATTGTTAAATCTAAAAACCATTTGAATACCCTATTGTCCATTCATAGTCAAATTACAAGTATTTCTAAAACCCTGCTAATGTATTAACCTGTGTACAATGCTTCTGTATATATGCAAGAAACATCTTCCATTCTTCCTTAAACTCGTTGTCATCTCTTCCTTTTCGTTTCATTGTCAATTTTGCCATTTCAGGATATTCCATTAATTTAAGTTGCCAATCTTCTTTAGCTGAGACACCTTATTCTTTCCAATGTTGGGCTAATAGTGTCCGTTCAGCCGTAGTTGCATACATAAATTATGTCCTCCCTAAAAGAGGGTTACGTGGGGAAAAACATAGCCTTATACACGGAAAAATACAGTATGTTGGAAGCCACTCGGGCAACCGAGTCACATGGGCGGGGTATAAATAATAATGACAACAGCAGCAACAACAACATGCGGCCCATCTGACTGGGTTATCCCAGTCACTCTGGGCGGCTTCCAACAAATGAAAAGACGTTCCAACATCAAACATTTAAAGCCGGCTGATGTCATAGCATAACTGTCAAAAGATCAAGGCAACAGACTCTTTGATTGGCTGGAGGTTCTATTGATTGACAGAAGAGCAGTTAACTGACAGTGGAGAGAAAAATTGGTGGTGCTGTCATGTGACTCATGGCTACCTGTGTGGGATTAACTCAGGATAACCGTCAGAAGCTCTGAAGATCCAAACCCTCCTTAGCAGTAGGTCTACCAAGTCACGAAATCGTAATAAGCAGGAGAAACATTCCAGTCTTTTCCGCCTTCCACAGAGAACCTGTAGCCTTATGAGGCTTTCCCTTGGGTGGGAAAAATATTGTGCCTGGGAAAGGGAAGTGGGAGTCAACAGACACTCAAGGAATAGTTTCGGAGAAAAGGCTTTTTATTTCTACCATCCATGAACTGGTAGAAGGAGCAAGTGTGATAAGTCACAAAAAGCATGCACGAGTTCACAATCATGTGCACAAGCATATATACCCCTTTCCAGTTCCCTCCCCCTTTCTCCTCCCTCAGGAGGTCCTCTGAGCATGAACAGAAAGCTGTCTTGGGACTATTGTGGACTCTTGGCACCCTTCCCAGGAAAGGGGTTTCAGAGTGTTCAGATATAGAATAGAATAGAATCATAGAGTTGGAAGAGACCACAAGGGCCATCGAGTCCAACCCCCTGCCAAGCAGGAAACACCATCAGAGCACTCCTGACATATGGTTGTCAAGCCTCTGCTTAAAGACCTCCAAAGAAGGAGACTCCACCACACTCCTTGGCAGCAAATTCCACTGTCAAACAGCTCTTACTGTCAGGAAGTTCTTCCTAATGTTTAGGTGGAATCTTCTTTCTTGTAGTTTGGATCCATTGCTCCGTGTCCGCTTCTCTGGAGCAGCAGAAAACAACCTTTCTCCCTCCTCTATGTGACATCCTTTTATATATTTGAACATGGCTATCATATCACCCCTTAACCTCCTCTTCTCCAGGCTAAACATGCCCAGCTCCCTTAGCCGTTCCTCATAAGGCATCGTTTCCAGGCCTTTGACCATTTTGGTTGCTCTCCTCTGGACACGTTCCAGTTTGTCAGTGTCCTTCTTGAACTGTGGTGCCCAGAACTGGACACAGTACTCCAGGTGAGGTCTGACCAGAGCAGAATACAGTGGCACTATTACTTCCCTTGATCTAGATGCTATACTCCTATTGATGCAGCCCAGAATTGCATTGGCTTTTTTAGCTGCCGCGTCACCCTGTTGGCTCATGTCAAGTTTGTGGTCAACCAAGACTCCTAGATCCTTTTCACATGTACTGCTCTCAAGCCAGGTGTCACCCATCTTGTATTTGTGCCTCTCATTTTTTTGCCCAAGTGCAATACTTTACATTTCTCCCTGTTAAAATTCATCTTGTTTGTTTTGGCCCAGTTCTCTAATCTGTCAAGGTCGTTTTGAAGTGTGATCCTGTCCTCTGGGGTGTTAGCCACCCCTCCCAATTTGGTGTCATCTGCAAATTTGATCAGGATGCCCTTGAGTCCATCATCCAAGTCGTTGATAAAGATGTTGAATAAGACCGGGCCCAAGACAGAACCCTGTGGCACCCCACTAGTCACTCTTCTCCAGGATGAAGAGGAACCATTGATGAGCACCCTTTGGGTTCGGTCAGTCAGCCAGTTACAAATCCACTGAGTGGTAGCATAGTCAAGACCGCATTTTACCAGCTTCTTTACAAGAATATCATGAGGCACATTGTCAAATGCCTTGCTGAAATCAAGGTAGGCTACATCCACTGCGTTCCCTTCATCTACCAGGCTTGTAATTCTGTAAAAAAAGAGATCAGGTTAGTCTGACATGACTTATTTTTCAGAAATCCATGCTGACTATTGGTGATCACAGCATTCCTTTCTAGGTGCTCACAGACTGTTTGCTTAATGATCTGCTCCAGAATCTTCCCTGGTATTGATGTCAGACTGACTGGGCGGTAATTATTTGGGTCCTCTCTTTCCCTTTTTGAAAATAGGGACAACATTTGCCCTCCTCCAGTCTGCCGGGACTTCGCCTGTTCTCCAGGAATTCTCAAAGATGACTGCCAGTGGTTCTGAGATCACATCTGCCAGTTCTTTTAATACTCTTGGATGCAGTTCATCTGGCCCTGGAGACTTGAATACATCTAAACTAGCCAAGTATTATTGTACTATCTCCTTAGTTATTCTGGGCTGTGTTTCCTTTGCTGAATCATTTGCTCCAAATTCTTCAGGTCGGGCATTGTTTTCTTTATCGGAGAAGACTGAGGCAAAGAAGGCATTGAGGAGTTCAGCCCTTTCTGTGTCCCCTGTTTGCATTTCACCATCTTCTCCTCTGAGTGACCCCACTGTTTCTTTGTTCTTTCTTTTGCTACGGACATACCCATAAAAGCCTTTTTTGTTGCTTTTAACCTGTCTAGCAAGCCTGAGTTCATTCTGTGCTTTAGCTTTTCTGACTTTGTGTCTACACGTGCTGGCTATTTGTTTGAATTCCTCTTTGGTGGTTTCCCCCCTTTTCCATTTTTTGTACACATCCTTTTTAATCTTAACTCAGTTAAAAGTTCTTTAGATAGCCACCCTGGCTTCTTTAGGCACCTTCCATGTTTCCGTCTCATTGGTATTGCCTGACGTTGTCCTTTTAGTATCTCCCTCTTAACAAACTCCCAGCCATCATGAACTCCCTTTCCTTTTAGTATTACTGTCCATGGGATCTCACCCAGCACTTCCCTAAGTTTTAGGAAGTCGGCTTTCTTAAAGTCAAGAAATTGAGTCCTAGTATGCTTGGCTGCTCCTTTCCGCTGTATAGTAAACTTCAGAAGAGCATGATCACTCGCGCCTAATGATCCTTCCACTTCTACCCCACTAACCAGGTCATCAACATTGGTTAGGACCAGATCTAAAATGGCTGTTCCTCTTGTTGCTTCTCCCACTTTCTGGACAATGAAGTTGTCTGCAAGGCCAGTGAGGAATCTGTTTGACCTTATGCTCTTGGCTGAGTTTGACATCCAACAAATATCCGGGTAATTGAAGTCCCCCATTACTACTATCTCCCTTCCTTTTGCATGCTTGGCCATTTGTTCCAGGAAGGCATCATCTATGTCCTCCGTTTGGCTTGGGGATCTATAGTAAACTCCCACAATGAGGTCACTGTTATTCTTCTCTCCCTTAATTTTGACCCAAATGCTCTCACTTTGGCTTTGAGGTTCTAAATCTTGGATCTCTTCACAGGTATACACATCCCTGACATATAACGCCACTCCTCCTCCTTTCTTATCTGGTCTGTTTCTCTGAAATAGATTGTATCCCCCCCCATTATTACATTCCAATCGTGGGACTTATCCCACCAGGTTTCAGTGATGCCTATTATGTCATATTTAGTTTGCTGTACCAAGAGCTCAAGCTCATCTTGTTTATTTCCTATGCTTTGCGCATTAGTGTACAGACATTGAAGTCCATTAATCATTCCCCCGTGTCTCTTATTTAAGGATTTTTTCCTCCCACCACTAGGTCTGTGTGCTGTTTGCTCCATTTGGTCTATGACATTTGGATGATCATCTTCATCAATTGATAGACTCCTACCTTCAGGAGCACTGTCTCCCTCCCCCACATTAGTCAGTTTAAAGCCCTCCTGATGAGGTTTCTGAGATATGTTTCAATCTCTTGTTCTGGCATGGTTCCCGGACAGAAAGTAAGTTGCAATGTGGTTCTTTAGCAAGGCCAGAAGGCATGAGTAAGGCCTGAAAATCAATGGACTGTTCTCTACCTTGGTTACAGCAGAGCGGAATGTTTCTGATGCTTAACTGCTGAGAAAATGATTTTGAAAAGTTTTGAGAAGCTTTGAGCCTGCTTTGGTGGGGGGGGGTGACTTCGGGCCTAGGTGAGGTCACCTGTCCTCACCTTCCTTCAAACCGATTGCCTTTCCCTGTTTCCTGAAGGACCCTTCGCAGTACGGAGACGATGCAAACAGCATTGATCCCATGCAGCGGCATTTAATAGTTGAAACGAATAGCTTAATTGTGCAGTCGTTTTCAGTGCGCGTTGGATGGCTGGGATTATAGGCAGAACTATTACATTTTTATGAACTCGTAAACTCTGGGAGTCCAGGCTGCAGCATAAAGATGCTTCCATTTCCAGTACAGGTTAATAAGTAACTCACACCCTTTTGTCGCTCGCCATTTCGCCCGAAAAGTTTATATTGTAACGCATTTAAATGAACCGCTTAGTGCTGGTCTGAAGGATTACATCTATGTAGACCAATGGTTAATAGTGAAAAAGAAATCAAACTAAGGTGAGATGATTTTTTAAAAAAGTTCCTATTGCTAGATCGTTCTCTGCACAAAAGCCCCCGGGGATTAGCTTTGTTTGAAGATTATTTGCATTTAAATTGCAAAGATATATTACACTTCATATATTTTATGAATGAGGTTAAAAGCTTAAAGCCATTGCTTACATATTTCCTTAAACACTAAGGTTACCAAAGTGCTTTGAATTCTGTCTCGGAGGAGATATCGGCCGGCGCATTTCTCCTGAAATGACGAAGGGCAAAGAAGAGGCAAATTGTCCCCTCCCTACAATGTGAGATCAGCAATGAGGTGTGGATGCCACTGCCAGGGGTTAAATATATTATTTTTTAGTACTAAAGGTGGTTGGGTTGGTTTTTTTAATGAAATCTGTGGGAGCAAAAACCTGTCACTTGAAGTTGTGATGGTTCAATTGATGTTTGATGCCTAGTGAAAATGGGTTATTCCTCTCCCCCTGCCCCAGTAAATGCTAAATGTGTGAATGTGGGGGGGGGGGAGATTCTCATCAGGATCACAGATGCGATGGGAAGGTTTAAATTGCATCTCCTCTTATATGCCAAAGTCTTGATGAGAATTGGGTGGGGACCATTAGACAACCATGTTATTGTTGTTTAGTCGTGTCCGACTCTTCGTGACCCCATGGACCAGAGCACGCCAGGCACTCCTGTCTTCCACTGCCTCCCGCAGTTTGGTCAAACTCATGTTGGTAGCTTCGAGAACACTGTCCAACCATCTCATCATCTGTCGTCCCCTTCTCCTTGTGCCCTCAATCTTTCCCAACATCAGGGTCTTTTCCAGGGAGTCTTCTCTTCTCATGAGGTGGCCAAAGTATTGGAGCCTCAGCTTCAGGATCTGTCCTTCCAGTGAGCACTCAGGGCTGATTTACTTAAGAATGGATAGGTTTGATCTTCTTGCAGTAAATAAATTCAGTGACAGAATATAGAGCATGACAATACGGCCCAATTTCTCTCCTTCTCCCCATTCTGTCCCAGCTTGAAAATCTTACGTGAACTGCTGTCAAAACTCTAAATTCCAGCCCCTGATCTGGGAGAAGGCATAGATTCATGCGATTTTCGTGTAGCTCAGGAGCCAACGGATTGATGGCACCATGTCTGTTTCAACAGGTGACAGGCGTCAAATGCTGGTGGAGAATTCTTGTGGGAACAGAATGAATTTGGCGCTTTGGGCAAGGAGGGGGCAGGTCTCAATGCAAGAATAATTTGTAGCACCCCTTTTGTCCCTTTGCTTATGTGCCATTGTTTCATCCACAGGGTCATTTAATTCCGGCATGGATTTCTGGGGAAGGAAGTCAAACGCGCTCCCAAAGGCGAAAAGCATTTTGAAATATGGCAAAAAGGTACATGCACCACTTACCTCACTGATGTTGAAGTGAAAGTCTAGTTTATGTTCCATTGTTTCATCAACAGGGTCACTCAATTCTGCCACTGTTTTCTTGGATCACATGCTTTGTGAATTTTATAGCATGTCTTTTCTTGTGGCTGTGCTGTTTAATGTGTTTTTTGTTTTGTTAGTAGTTTTTGTTTAGTTAGTTTCTTTTATAGAAGGTGGTTGTTTTACTGATTTGTTAATCGTTTTATATCATTTATAGTGCAGTAGTGATGTTCCGCCATGTTATTTATTGTATATAAGCAGCTTTGTGACTCGTGAGTGAAAAGTGGTGTAGAAATAGAATAAATAAAATTAATGAAATGAAATTGAGTAGTCTCCACATCAGCTTTCTCCAATTTGCAATGTGTCACAGTCCAGTTCATGGGCGATCGAAGTCCTGGCTGGGGATGTCAGGACCAGGGGGCAAGATGGCGGGGTGGAGGTAGGAACAGGAGTCCAGAAGCCAGGAGTCAGAAAGCCAAGAGACCGAGGGTCAGAGAGCCGGGAGTCAACAAGCCAAGGGTCCGAGGGTCAGGAAGCAAGGAGTCACAAAGTCAAGGGTCTGAGGGTCAAGAAGCAAGGAGTCACAAAGTCAGGGGTCCAAGGATCAAGAGGCAAGGAGTCACAAAGTCAGGGGTCCAAGAATCAAGAAGCAAGGAGTCAAACGCAGCAAGGCAGGGAACGTGTTGCTGTGGCAAAGAGCCTAAGGGAAAATGCTGACCTTATATCCCTTCCTGGCTCTTGCCACCAGGTGCTGTGAGTTACCAATCGGCCTCACTTGTGTGGCCATGCCTTGCCTCTTCAGAACAAACTTAGGAAGGCCCCAGTCCTGCAGAGTCCTATTGGTCACAGCGCCTGGCTCCTGCACACACACCTGACACAATGTGACCATGGACCCAAGAAAGGTGGTGACTCCTGTGTTGGAGTGTCAGACCAGGGAGACCAGGGTTCAAGACCCCACTAATGCATGAAAGCTTAAAGGTGACCTTGGTTGCTCGCTGTCTCTTAGCCTACCCTAGCTCAGAATTTTCGTGACAATTAAATAAAGACCTTGAGCTCCTTGAAGGAAAAGTGTAATAATAAAAACAATTGTCTTTTCTCTTCCAGGTAGATGATCTTATCATTGAAGGCTTGGGGGCAGCAGCAAGGCCAGATTAAGGTGGCTTGGGGGCCTGATTCAGTACTCCAGAAAGAGTTCCCCCTTCCAGCTTAATCACAAATTTGTGACATTTTGGTTGATCCTAATAAAGGTATCTATAAACTTACTCTGGCTTTCAGGATTTTTCTAATGGGCCAACCAAACTTAACTATAATTATTGAGTTCATTCCACCGTTAAAAATAGTTGCATGCCCTTCATTATATGAAGTCATGCTAACTTAACAGCCTAAACCTATACATTCAAAGATTAGGTCCTCTTGCAGTCAGCACTGCTGATCTCAAAGCAAATATGTGCAGGGTGATAGCCGTGCTTTTAAGGAACAGCCACAAAAATAGTTGCATAGAAATGTTTCCCCTTCATTATTCAAAGGTACATTGGCATACAGCTTAATCCTATGCAGCTTATCAATAAATGGAAGCGTTTCTAAAAATGTTACTTATTTTTTTCAGTTCAGTGAAAAAAAGAAGCTAAATCTAGAAATTCTTTGAAATGTTAAAGATAAAGGTGAGGGCATGGGAATGATTAAGCAAAATACCCATCTCTCCCTAAAGTCTCATTTTCATAATAACCGCTTATTATCTGTTCTATTACAAAAATATCCTTGCAGCAGTTTTCCCCTTCTGTTATAATGAAAGCAATAGATTGCATCTAAAACTTTCCCCCACTTTTAATCTTATTTCATTACAGTTCCTGGCCTTGTAGTTGAGAATAATGTGCTGGGAGGCAACCTAGTATATGCACTAAGGAAGAGAATAAGCTCTTCTCGCTATGTCGTTTAATGCAATAAAGTTTACAATGCAATAGTGTTAGATTTGCATGGGTAGAAATCTGCTAGAATATTTTCCTGGAGTCTAAAAATCTTCTAGAATAGTTTCTAAAAGCAACTAGCTGGCTAACGGCATATACAAGTACATTAAGCCCCATTGAATTCAGTGGGAATTTCTGTCACGGCCTTAGAGATGGTCTGCATCTCTTGATCTCAGGCCATCAACTAAAATAGGAGTAGCTAACCTGCAGCCGTCCAGATATTGGTGGGCTCCAATCAGCCATAGTTAGCTTAGCTAATGTTCAAGGATGGTGCAAGTTGTAGTATAGTTCAGCAACAACTGGAGGAACAGAGGTTTGCCACCCGTCAAAAATAATGGGTGCAATAATACTGACCTATCTTATTTGTGACAATTGCTGAGAGGATGGGAACCACCAGAAGGCCCTCGGCACTGGACCTCAGTGTCCAGGCTGAAAGATGGGGGTGGAGACGCTCCTTCAGGTATGCTTGGCTGAGGCTGTTTACGGCTTCAAAGGTCAGCAGCAACACTTTGAATTGTGCTTGGAAACATACTGGGAGCCAATGTAGGTCTTTCAGGGCCGGTGTTATGTGGCCTTGGTGGCCACTCCCAGTCACCAGTCTAGTGGGGAGGATCTGCACCCCCTAGTCTTTAAAACTCACCTCCTCGCTTTTTTGGCTGTGGCTGAATTCGTAGCAAGAGAAGGAATTAAGGTCTCTTTCTTTATCCTCCCCCCCCCGCCCCGCTCTCTCTGGCCCTAGGAATGCCATAGCAGCCTCTTCAGCGCCAGGCCTCCTGGAAAAGAATACTGGTCCAAATGAGTGTAATAGCCCATTTCCCTGATTCAGACAGGAGACGTTAAATCTACTCTGCATCCATCTTCACTAGTACATTATGTAATTAGGATCCTTTTAGCAAAATGATGTTTGCGATGCGTTTGGCAGTCGGAACATCTGAAGCTGGGGCTGTGAGGCATTCTAGAAAGGGTACAATAACTATATCCCAAAGCCTTTAAAGACATCTCGGCTACGGTATTTGTGTCATAAAATCATTTACACAGAGCCAGACTGCAACAACATTTTTTTAAAAATCATGCAAGTGCGTGTGTGTGTTGGTGGTATTGATTTATCGCTGTCACAAACCATCTCACTTGTGGGATTAGAGCAACATTCTTTTACACCCAGGATCTCGTGAATAAAACCTTCTCCTCTGTAGTCCTTTACCAGAGTTTCTATTCCTGTCGTTGGATGCCTATGAATGATTTCTGCTCCAAACTACGGCTTCCATTTTGAAGCTGACCCTATATTTGACTTGACCGACCCTCACTTATTACCCCATCGTCCCCACATTTTGCAGCAGGGAGCGAGCTGTATATGTGGGGTTCCCTGCATGATTTAGGGGATCCTCCATAACTACAGCAAGCTCCCAGCTGCTGACATTTGCCCTTCTGTGTGTGGAGGGCAATGGGGATATGATGGGATGGAGGAGCTAGTAAGCACATCCTGCTCTTTCTTAAGCAGTTCTTATAGTGTGGGGTTTACAGGTCACTTAATAGCCCTGTGTTAAGAGCAAGTTGGCTGAATCACATTCCACTATTGCGTGTTGAGGTCCCTAAGCCACCCCAATAACTCACACATCACACGTAATTTTTGTTTAAGGTTTTTGGCATAATTTTGGCCACAACTTTATTTAAATACATAACTGTGAGTGGTTGCTTAGGCATTGGTTCCGACTATCTGTCCCCCTGCCCAGGGACAGAACTGACTTCCGGATTCCAGCGGAAGCCAGTCAGGGAAAACAATATTGGGGAGAAATGTAGCTGGGCACCAGACCCTCCCCTCTCCCCACATGCTCCCAGAGGCCTTGCATGGCCCAAGCCCGATGCCAGGGACTCGGACGAAAGCATGGCAAGCCCCCGTATTCCTCTAACGGAATTCCCTTGCAGAACCAGCATCGGAGGGGTAGGCCAATTTTTTAACCAATGCCTAACCGCAAACCTTACAAGTTGTGATGATTTGCTACACAGTAGGCAAAAACCAAATGGCTCCAGCCAATCAGCCAAATGGACAAAATTCTTACCAGGCCCCTGCCCCAAAAGCAGGCGACCCCGTGACAGGCATAGCAAAGTCAAGCGCAAAATCCCCATTTCAGGGAGGGTGGGCGGGTGATCCGATGTGCGCAGCAAAAGAGGACGCCCAAAGCTGCGTGCCCAGTATTTAAAACCTTTGAGCCCAAACCACAAATTGGCAACATCAAAATCTCCCCAGAAACACAAGTACCCAATCTCAACCTGTGGCCATCCAAACAGATCAGCCCAGCAACACTGCAGTGGCCTGCTAGATCCCACCGCAACCCGTGCTCTCTATTAGTGAGAACACGCTTTATAATAAGAAATTGGAGGCGAAGTAGTACTAATAATAAAAATATTATTTGCAACCTGCCCATCTGGCTCAGTTGCCCCAGCCACTCTGGCCAGCTTCCAGCATATACACAATAAAACATCAAACATTAAAACATCCCTGCCTTCAGATGTCTTCTAAAGGTTGTATAGCTACTTATGTATATATATAAAAAAAAGGTTGTATAGCTACTTATCTGCTTGACATCTGGTGGGAGGGCATTCCCACAGGGCGGGCGCCACCACCAAAAAGGCCTTCTGCCTGGTTCCCTATAACCTCACTTCTCGCAGTGAGGGAACTGCCAGAATGCCATTGGAGCTAGATCTCAGTGTCCGGGCTGAACGATGGGGGTGGAGAAGCTCCTTCAGGTATACAGGGCCAAAGCCATTTAGGGCAATCAGCACCAACGCTTTGAATTGTGCTAGGAAACGTACTGGGAGCCAATGTGGATCCTTTAGGGCCAGTGTTGCATGGTCCCAGCAGCTGATCCCAGGCACCAGTCTAGCTGCTGCATTCTGGATTAGTCGTAGTAATTAATTGTAATCGGGTGGCGCTGTGGGTTAAACCACAGAGCTTAGGGCTTGCTGATCAGAAGGTCGGCAGTTCAAATCCCCGCGACAGGGTGAGCTCCCGTTGCCCGGTCCCTGCTCCTGCCAACCTAGCAGTTCAAAAGCACATCAAAGTGCAAGTACATAAATAGGTACCGCTCCGGCAGGAAGGTAAATGGTGTTTCCGTGCGCTGCTCTGGTTCGCCAGAAGCAGCTTAGTCATGCTGGCCACATGACCTGGAAGCTGTACGCCAATAAAACGAGATGAGCGTCGCAACCCCAAAGTCGGTCACGACTGGACCTAATGGTCAGGGGTCCCTTTACCTTTAATTAGTTGTAATAGGGTCTATAGCTTATAGTTTAAAGGTGGTTCAGCTAGGGCTGTCCCACCCATGAGGCAAGGTGCAGCACTCGGAAGCAGGATCCACAGGGCCATCAAATCCCAGTGTAGATCTTTGTTTTCTGCTTGTTCCTGATGTAGCGCTTCACTCACTCCTTCCCTGGTGGGGGGAGAGGTGCCATTTTGTGGTTTGCCTCAGGCGTCGAAATGCCTTGGGCTGGCCCTGGGTTCAGCAGAGTACCTTGAAACTTGTCCCACCCTTGTTTCTTGTGTTGGAAAGCCCAGTTTTTTTCCTGATTACTGCACAGCAGGGAGAGTGCAACGTATAGAGCAGACAAAGATAGGCAATGCCTTTGCAGAGGTCCCTGCCATGTTCAGACCCTTCATCTACATACACAACTGTCACCAGAATCAGTGCCGGATTTCCGTATAAGCTAAACAAGCTATAGCTTAGGGCCCCACTCTCTTGGGGGCCCCAAAAAAATTTAAAGGGAAAAAACCTGGATGTACATTTCCAAAATATAAGATAAAAAACAAATAAAATAAAACCTACATACAATAACAGTGTTTTGTGTTGTGTAGGCTCCTATGATGTAAGAAATGGACCCCGCCTGCTAGCCCGCTCCTTAAAATATCACTGGTTTGCTCATTTCCAACCGTGACAATTTGTTGTTGACAAAGGACAGCAGGACATATTAAGGGCCCAATTACCTTCAGTAGCTGAGGGCCTCATCAAGCCTAAATCTGGCCCTGACCTTAATGGCTATACATCTACTGCAACTTCTACATCCACACACTTCATCTATATGCTCTTCATAAATATTTTTGATAAAAACCAAAACTTCTGACCAATTCTACAGCTGATGGCCACTGATAGCCAAGAAATAGAAGCTCGAGTGTCTAGTAATGTATTCGCACAAGTGAAAATCTCAACAACAAAAAGGCCTGATTAGTTTCATAATGAGGCAGAGAAAGATAATTGTACAAACTGAGCGATCTGCTGCAATTAGTTAAAAAAATCTGAAGCAAAAAT